AAACCAAATAACAGAGGTATTAGTACATCTACCCTGACTAGTATCAAAACGAAGTTAAACAAAGGTTTCGTGCGATGACGAATATTTTTGGAACTCAAAAAGGTTGTTTAAACTTCATAATCACACTTGGGCTTCCACAAACTTTAGTGTACAGTCCAAACACGTTTTACAGATAGGTTTAAAAATGTGCAAGCGTCAATTTTATGTCGTCTCTATGTGCGTCGGTGGCACAGTCGTTAGGACTCTCGCCGACCATGCACATGGTCCGGGGTTCGATCCCCTGCCGGCGCACATCCGATATCTATGGTCGGCCTGCAAAATTTGGGCTACCGATATCCATGCTGAAATTTCCATACTTGTACTGAAAATACGGTGTGGAATTAAGCTGTAATCAAAATAAATAAAAATAAATAAATAATAAAAATAAGTTTCGCAATAGAGGAGCTGAGGCACCTGTTTTCACCATAAATAGCTTCTGAAGATTCTGTTTGCTTCTGGAAGCATTTAGGAATATGATGCGTGGCCCTTACTTGCAGAAATCGGAGTCCTCCCCAAGTGAATATAGCAGCCGCTTCTAAACCTTACGTCCATAGCTTTAATAGATGTTGGACACTACTTGTACGCGATTCCAAAATAATTCTACGAATTGACTTTGAACAAACACAAATAATATGGCGTCAGGACAATAAGAAAAAGAGGGAATTTATGAAACCAAACTCAATAATAGGACAAAATGACGTACACCTCAGATGTCCTTACGTACCTGATCAGGAGGATGGTATTCAAATCCACCAAAGTACCAGAATGTTGTAGTATGCATTTAACTCAGTTAAAAATTTTGGCAGAAAACAGTGTATGTTGTAGGTGATCATAAAAAATATTGCAGTTTCTGTCCAGTTGTGAACACTAATCTTCGCTTGTATCTATGCATTCCAATGACTTTTAGCTATCAAAACGCCACACAAAAGTGCAAAAGCATGTACGAATTCGACATTAACCATATTCTTCGGTTCCTGCAACAGAATTAGGTACTGCACAACAGATCGAGAAATTTGAGGCCGAGTACAGGTTGCCGTCATGCTGCAAAGAAATTAGTCGAAAGACAGTCGTCGAAATGTACGCGAAGCATACTCGGTATGCTAAATAATAATTACATGAACCATGTATTCAAGCGTTCTACCTCACAAGGAATACGTAAATATCGAACAACAATTTTCAAATAAATTCATTCGACAAAAGCAAAACAAGGATCAAAATCACATCAACTGCGTCCCCCTGGACGACTAGCCCCAACTCGAATCAACTAAGCCGCGCAAATGCCGTCAAGGTAAAGCTAGAGGCGCCACTTCAAATAAGGGATATGACATAGAATCGCCTCATGTTAACCTGGCAACAGTAGAGAAAAGACACCAAATTTAGACGACCTTGAAACAGCCAGTCAAATTCTTCTGGATGAAAACTGGTACTTAATTTACAAGGAAGTGTACCTACGATAGAGATGCAATAAAAATGAATCATATAGGGTATATATCTCTAATATGCTGTAATAACTAGTCCCAGACTCCCATAGAAGTGGTTATAGACATATCAAACCAATGTATTCTCTATTTCTCCAGCTGTAGCAGATACTGGTTGCATATACTCAATTTGCTAATATGGGAGAGCTTTGATTTCAAGAAGAAAGTGTCTAAAAAAATCACCGCTTATGTACAGCTTACCAACTTATACAGACTTCCTCATATAAAGTGGATTCATCTGAATGTATAACCATCAATAGCCCGGTAATACTTGTGCAGAGTCATTATCCCTCCAAATATCTGTGTTTTATTCCGCCCTATGAACAAATTTAAACAGGGAAATCAAAAGCTAAATCTAGGAGACACTTTCCACGAGGATTATGACCAGCGACCATTTGTCATGCTGAGCTATCTGATTGGTCAAATCAAGGCCATCTGGCGGCAACTCTAAAAAATAGCAGCCTAAACCGAAACTATCTATCGAACGGGGAGATGACCTTCACAAGGGCAACATCGACCAATCAAAAGTCTCCACAAAAAAGGCGCTTAATTGTAATAAATCGTTTATATATAAGCAATGCAATGTTAAAAAATAGTTACAAAGAACAACGTTTCCGTATATGTTGCAAAACACCTCCTAATTTCTCATAGGTGTCTTGATAATCATGTTAAACCAAGTCCTGTACATAATAATTATTTGCTTCATTCGAAAACAGTACTTGTGATACAGAATGGAATCCTCAACATTTTTACTGCAGTATTGCATCCAGTTAGTGCATTATCACCACTTTCCTAACCACTGTGCCACCGACGCAGTGGGCTGAATTAATATCCTGAGACGTGAAGTCTCAATTTAATGATACCATGCCGAAAGGTGCAGCATCTAAATAAAGTAGACTATTTGTGTAGATGAAATTACCCTTCAACTATCCTATCTTCTTCATTTCAGCGATATTTTGCTACAGTTCGCCTGAAACACTGATCGTTGCAACCAATATGCTAGGGGGTGTAGCAGTCAGATTACATGACGCGGACACCAAAATAACAGGTCAGAAAATGGGAATTCTCATCAATCCAGATAACATATAACACAATTTCATTAAAAATTATTGACAAAAACATTTCCAAGTGAAATTTTAACAGCGGTACTAGAACGTGATATTTAACGTCTACCAGATTAAGGAAATCTCAGTTCATTATGACAATAACATATTGGCATGTCGATAGCAAAGCCAAAGTTGAACAGTGTTTGAAGGTATTAGGAAAGTAGATGCTATCATATTTACTGGCGTAAGCGGGAGAAAGAAACAAAGCAGCACATAACGGAAAAGAAGAGAAAAAAGAGAGAGAATAGGAAAAGAAAATGTTGTACCTATAAATGACATGAGTTGGAAAGACGAGGTCCAGTTGTTCTACTGACTATTCAATGAATTATAGGTGTCACGCCTAATGCTTTCTTTATCGCACTGAAAACGAGCTAAGTAGGGTATGGTTGAGATTTGTACTTGCTGGTGCGAGCATACTCATCGAGAAAACTGTATATCATTGAATTTCTTGATCCATTCAAAGATCCGATACGTTTTTTAGGTGATTTCAGAAACTTTCGACTGAATTAGTGCGAGTTCCATCAAAAGGATTGATAAAACCACTTGTATGGTTGACCACTTGATGAATATAGCCCACATTCGATAACTGACTGTAACTACTCCATTCATCTGTATGAACAGTTGTCCCAGGCAGCACTAAGCGCTGGATAATAGGCGATAATACACCTGCACTGCGATTAGGGATCGCCTCAATATAACCTTTCTGGAGGCTGGTGTCAAACATCTCCAATACCTATTGCTGATTCGCACTCAATCTCCCTCGATTATATTTTCTATTGACCAAAAGCACCTAAGGAATCTGTAGATTAAAAACGAAAGACATACGTTCTCGAACTGATTTTCCGGTTCGGCACTCATTTCACCAACAAACAAACACATCGATGCACCTATTGTATCTCTGCATATGAATGACACATCCACATTGGCAACTTTTCGACCTTCCTATCAGTCCCTTCTCCAAACAGTAATCAAAACAAGATCTGGAGCGAATTTGCAATGGAAAAGGTGTACAGCACCCATAAGTACGTCTGGATAAAACAGAGTCACCTGATTGGTTGCTCCAGGTCATTTGTCCGTTCGCTAGGTAGTTTCGGTTTGGGCTGCTATTCTTTAGAGTTGCCCATTTGATTTTGGTGTCTATTGTTTACACTTGCTGTTAACTTGTTTCCTTAAGCTAGAAAATCAAAATCTATCCCATTTTATTATTACTCCTTCCAAGCCTGCCTCAGTAACCTACATCACGTATTAGCCGCGAAGTTTGTGCAAAGGAAAATCTACCAATCACAGTGCGCATGAGTGACCTTCTAGTGCTCAGCCTCTCCGCAAGCCATTTGTGCCGTTATCCTCTGTCATTAAGGGCAAAGTTAAACTTTAAGCACCAGTAACAACCAATCAGCAAACGACCTTGAACGGACCAATCACATGAAAGAGGCGTTTATTATAAGTGGTAATGTATATTCATAGAAAAATGCATAAAATATAGGATAAGACAATTGCAACGGGTATCTTTCACGGACATGGGACAGAAGCATTTCCCAATTCAGCGTGCGACTGTCAATAGAGAAGTCACACCAAATGATAGCCTTTCCACTCGTTGGTATGTACGACTGATCCCGGTTTCACAAGTCGCTTTATAATAGGTACCAGAGTAGTCGCCTTTCTGTCTGCTATTGTTTCAACAAACCCTTTTCGGAGGGATGTGTCGTATAAACCTATGACCCAAATGTTGTTCGCGCTCTGACGACAGCGGTTATATTTCTTCTTCACCAACACTGTCTCATCCACATGGACTACTACATCGTCCCCACCTAACAACGAAGTACTTCTGTACATTTTCCATGAGGCGATGTCCCTGCAGTGCTGGTATACCACTGAACTGTTGGGACGAGGCTGTTCTCCGTCTCGGCAGCAGCGGCTCTCACAGGCTGTTTCAGTATCCAGTAGTTGCAAATGTACAAAATCTAGGTTAGGGAGAGATGCGACCTAGCAAAAAAGTTCCTAAGAAATATTACCCTCTCTAATACTAACTCGCTTCCAGCATATTCCACAGCGATGTACAAAACCATCAGTTGACCTAGTATAGCTATTTAGAGTCACTACACCACCACACGAACAACTTCTCTCCTTTCCAAGCAAGCCTCAGTCCAGGCAATAATAATAGACACAAACCTCCTCAAATTGCAAACGTAACCTTGTAATGGCACGCAGTGAAATGAATCAAGCGCTATGCAACATTGAACTACGTTCGTGAATCTCATTGGATAAATCGACGTCGTTCGCTGATTGGTAGTTACTGGTGCTTAAAGTTTAACTTGGCCTCATTAAGGCCACTGCGGTTTTGACCGTGATAGTTTAAGTACACCCGTAAAACAACCCAAATGCAACAGCATCATAACAGCTAACTTCTGCACCAATCAGCAGGTGCCGCTATTCATTACTGTTCCCGGTGCGTGTACATCATTTAGCTGCAATCGGTGTTCTGCCACTCCAGTATAGATTGTCATTGAGTGAGTGATTGTATTCTGGTTGTCGGTATAATGACACTATATCTAATAGTTTTGATGTAACGGTATTTCTGAATGTTGTAATTATTGGCCATATCAATGTAGTGGACCAAATATCGAACGATGTAAACAAACTGAACATGAATACTTAAACCTACCTGCCTAGAATCTGTACCTTTTGTTTTTGTTATAATATACCACGCCTCATGTCTGGACTTCGTGTTCTTCTTGTTGTAATGTATATTGTGATCGTGTTGGGTGGTCACTATGTGTATTCCTCTTCCAAAGACGATATGTGCACAATATCTGTTGGCTTTATTATTTTCATTTCATTTTGTAGGTAGTTGATTCGATTTATTAATAAGGTATAGAAATGACTAACACTATCAGAACAATTTCACTCCACTTGCAGCATCATCGTTTGCCATAAGGATCCAAGTGTGCCCTATGTACGTCATCTCGGGGTAATACGAGCAATATTTTGTGACCTACCTCCTCATATAGCGGACATAAGAATGGTTAGAAGATTTGGGAGATGTAAAGAGCCTCCCCACGTTCATTAAATGTAGTAGATTGGAAGGAGTCAGAAGGAGAAAGTTCAACCACAAATTTAAGATGTAAGTCAGGAAAATGCGGGCTAGATTTGACTGGGAATTAAAGGATAAGATGAAGAAACGACAAGCTATGGAGAAATTGAAAGCTCGGATGGATAAAGGTTGGAAGGATGATAAAAATATGGGGTTTTCTGGTGTTGAGGTTTCACAAACCGCTATTACCAAGACCTCTATTCATAAACTGGATAAACACAGATGCCTCCGCATGGTAAACAAGCGCATTTAGTGTTAGGAGGAAGTTTACCAAATTGAGAGGATTATATGAATGAATTCAACCTAATTTTGTAGCAATAACTGAAACATGGTCACTTGTGAGTGTATATTTCAGCCTGCTCATTCCGGGGTATATCTATGCCTGAGTAGATTAAGTTGTTCGTGGGGCCTCTGTACATTCGCGGTAACTTGGGAATCATGTCGACTGTTTTGGGAGCTCGTGATAATGGCAATAGTGATGCTGCAATTTTGAACTGTAAGTCTATGAAGGCATAAGTCTCAGGGATTCTCACCGAGTTGTCCAACATCGAGTCATCGGAGATGATGATGACCTTGTTCACTGATAGAACCTAGACTACCACAGACAGATGCAAATAATGCTATTAGTATTTCTGGCTATAAGGATATATGGAGAAGAGAAGACTGCCACTACATGTATCTCGAAGTGTATTCATCTTACGTGTTGACTGATATAATATGGTAAGTAATATTGAGGTTAGACGTAGTGTTGCTTAAGGAGGGGAAGTCAGTCAATGAGCATGTGAAGCCTCACCCCTATATGTCTGTACAGAACCTCCAGCAATATCAACGAATGGAGATGGTAACTTTTGTTTACTTCTTGCCTCGAGGTGCATATGCTTGCTGAGTCGGAAGAATTGTGTGAAATTACTAACATGTCTGGTAGATTCTAACGTAGGAACCTCTGTTCTCTGAAAGTTAAATGTTTTAGTATCTCCGATTTACAGTGTTTTGTTTTCATGGCCATCCACGAGTAAATATACGTCTTTCCAGAAGTCCTTGATGTTCAACTTGGTGATAAGTTAGTGAATATTTTTATTCATTACTTTGTGTAGGTTTTATTTACAGTTTTCACAGGCATGTTAGTAAGGAGGTGGATGCACTGCGGAAATCATTATCAGATGAACTAAACAGTGGTTTCATAATAGCCCCAGAAGACAAGAAGCAAAAAAAACTGCACTGACTGAATTTTCAATGAAGAACATAGCGTGAAAGTGCAATGGTTTAAATTGCTACACTCCATATATCACACAAGGAGAAGGAAAGTTTACTAAAAGGGAGTTTACGTGAGAAAGAATAAGTATGTGGGCAATTAAATAATGGGATGGATCTAAGAGTCTCCAGAAAACCAAGAGAAACTGAGTTGGTCTCTAAAAATTTTCATTCTTATTTCCATGTCGTCTATTCAAAGACTGAAGGGGTCGAGCAGAATATACTGAAATCATGTGGTTGTCCACATTTTCTGAGTTTATTCTCAGTGGACGTGTCCGTCGGTGGCACAGCGGTGGAATGCCCCACTCAGGTAGTTTGGGGTTCGACCCACTGTCGACGCACTCCTTTACCTCGTTACGTCAGTAGTAAGACTGGTAAAAAAGGAAGGTTGGATATGGGGCTAGCATCTTGTAAAAATAAACACCCCTGCTACCGAAACTTCAAAGCTCTCGTTTGAAGCCCAAGGTTCTACTGGGAAGGTGAAGGAATAAAAAAAAATCTCAGTGAAAAGTCAACAGCTGGATCATTGGACACTACTTGTTTTTAAATATATTTCGTTTAAAATTCATTTGCTTCTGATATTAGAATTTAGCTCACTTCATATAACAATGCGATGCATAGATGACAGTGTGTACGTATGTAGTCTTAGTTCCCGTTACCACAGCCTGGTCAATACATAACTGGGGAAACATTAGACTCTTTGGGCAACAATTGTTCAACTTGGTCGAGGTTTGGCGTGTAACCGATTATTTCCCTGCATGACAACCATTCAGGAAGTACCTAGACTCCCCGAATCGACCAAGACTGTTCACTCAGACGACTTAAAGATTTGGAGAGAGAGCATACGGAGTACTTTGGAAAACATGGGATACACAACGCAATGCTCTGCATGGTTAGTCTAAAGACTGGATGGTTCCCATTAATGTAGCTAAGTGCTTAACGGGCACGGGAGTGTCAGCACATGCCATGTTGAAGGAACATCTCACACTTCAAAATTCAGGTTTATATTGATCTTGATGTCATGGTAACTCACGATTTTAAAATAATAAGCTGTCGCCCAGTTGTAGCTTTCGCCTTTAGAGTCCTCATTATCGCGATTGGCTAATGATTAGTCATTTTGACCACATTTCTCAGGATTCAAAGTTTTATTTTTAACATTTTGGAAACAAAAACAAAAGAAATTTGTAGTTTGTTTAAGAAATTAGTTCTTTTAACAATATCAATAGTAATACGGTTCTTGACAGTGACGCTGATGGTACAGAAACTATGTGGTTTTATTATAATGTTGGTGTTAGGCAGTCAGCCACATACTAAGACTACTCTGTTGTTATGATATCAACAGTAGGCTTCTGATGGATGTAAATTAAATTAGGATATAAGATGATAAATTCTCTAAAAGAAAAGAAACAACGATCGGTTCGTTTTGAACACTGTAACCAAGGGTAACTGACTATCACCACTGTTCCTCCTCATAACTACTAGCAGTCCCTTGGACTAACTGTTAATTTGCTTTAAGCGTACCGACATGAAATGTGATATTAAACACTGATTCAAAATGTGAATTCAGACTTTGTATGAAGTTAACTGGCCAAAGGTAAACATGAAAAAGACTACATTTTCCATTCCCAACTTTCGGTGTAACAAATACGACGTGAGGAAAGGTTACATCGAGAATTTTCAAGCTTCTAAAAGTATACTTCGAAAATAAGGCATTCGGTCACGTCTTGTATAATTTGACTTTCATTATTATTGTTCTTTCCGTTTCACATGATCTCCATCTCACTTGCGGACGCCCAACTCGTCGCATTCCAAGTCGAGTTCCACTCGAGAGTGTAGCGTGTGATGTCACTCGACAGTCTCCTTACAATACATCCATTCCATTGACACCTGCAACTTTGAGTAACAGGTTCTTGGCTAGTTCTCTGCCAGAGCCTTTTGTCGCTACTGCTTTCTCGCCTACCGTCTAATTTTCAGTGTCGATGAAAGTCTGCAACAATTTAGTAATTCTTTTCTTAACGTGCATGCTAAGTTTTCGAAGTATATGGAAGCACTGGCTTGACATTAGTGTTGGAATTCCGAATCTTTATCATTGTACTAAGTGCTCTAAATCACCACATTTTTCAAAGCAATGAATTTCTGTCTTGCTTCCCTCATCCGATCCCAACCGGCTTTGGCACCATCCACGCTGCCTGTTGATAAAATGCTGCTGCCCAGGTCAGGTAAACGAAAGAGATGATTTTCTTTACATTTTTCTCTTTGATGGCGATTACTGATTGTTGTTGTTGGTTATGTACCTTCACCTTAGCAAACCTGACTTCCTTTGAAAATGCTATTTGTTTATTAATTAAAGTTGCGGGTAAAGCGTAATAGGGCATACTTTACTGACAACTGAAATGCGAAGGCACTTATTGCGAGCTAGAAGTATTTTTGTGCTCTGGATTTTTGTAGACATTGAACTTATTTTCGTGGGTAAGGTCGCTAGTCCCACGCCTAACCTCCCCTCTATTCCCCGACATAGGAGCTGCTAGTAAACTAAGCTTCGCTCAACATAAGTAAGAGGATCCGGATCTTCAGCACTGATGTCAAGCCAGTACTTCTATGTGGTTCAAAGACTTGGTGCGTCACCTCTGTCGGGCAACGAATCAAACAAGAACCTACCGCTCGGCAAATATTCAGGAGGAAATGGAAATGGCTTGGACATACTCTGAGGAGACCGTTGAGTGGCTCCATGTGTCAGGCTCTGCAGTGAAACCCGAATGGGGGACGATGAGTCGAGAGAGTGAGGTCAACATAGAGGAGGAAATGAATAAAGTAAGTGTAGAACTTGAGCACTGGATACTGCATCACTGTGCGTTAAATAAACTTGTCTAATAGAGATTAAATGAAAGCTCATAAGCAATCATGGATCCAGCTAAAAAGGACTACAGAGAACAGACTGTAATGGCATTGTACTGCTGAAGTCCTACGTTTCATTCAGAAATCAAGGGGATAATAATAATATAGTACAGGTATTTTCTATGTTTGAAGAATTCCCTACATTAAGTCTGTTCGAAATCTCCTCAGTGAGTAGAAAAAGTCAAATGTTTGGTTTGTATTGCTATCACAATGTTCACGGTAAATGAGGAAGAATATTGTCTCTAAAGGTTAAGTTTCCCCTCACAAAAATGCATATTCTTTCTGTAGCGCGGTTGTTTTAAGACTGTGATAGGATATCAGAATGATTTTATGAAAGTAACTGGACTATTGGTCGAGTGAACACTAATAATGATAGTTGTTCTGTTTACTAAAATTTTATGATAAATTTTTTCTATCATTCACGTATGCGATATCATCTTGCAATTTTTTTATCTCATGGGTAGTATAGAACCCGGCTGACGTTTTCTTTGTTATCTTTACTTTTGTATCCTAGGAGCGTTTTGAATAAAAAGCACCAATGATTATTGTAATCATGGGACCATGTGGTTGCGGGAAATCAACGGTAGGTAGTGCACTGTCTAGTCATATTAATTGGCCGTTCATAGAAGGTGATGATTATCATCCTGAAAGTAATCGAAAGAAAATGTCTGCGGGAGTTCCTCTGACCGATGAAGATAGGATCCCATGGCTTCAGTATTTAAGAAATGAGTTTTCAAAGTATGAAAATGCTGTAGTGACGTGCAGTGCTTTGAAACGTTCTTATCGTAATATCTTATCATACGATAACGTCAACAACAGTAAGAACAGGAGAATACTATTCGTTTTATTACTGGCAGACAAGGATTTGTTAGAACATCGCATAAAAGAACGCAAAGGTCACTTCATGCACCCATCACTTATTCAAAGTCAACTTGAAATATTAGAACCATTCGAAGGAGAAGAAAATCTCATCATAAATGCAACTGAATCTATCGGCTGCATTGTTAATAAGATATTGAAAGCAATATCTCTACGGTCAACAGAGTAGTTAAACCGCATAACAACAAACGAAAAACCGGATACTAGTAGTTTTCATCAGAGTCGATGAAAAAGAAACATTCCGAGTGTTCCACTGCATTATTGTGAGCGGAAGCAGGTGTGTATAAATCAATTTATGTTGTGCGGATTTTTAAATATTCTTACATTCATACGTTTAATGTGTTCGTGAAACAGTTGGTTATTTGGGCTTGTTTATTATTTTTCTTATCCATTAGTATACAGGTGGTGGAGTGATTAATTATTCTTGTTTTGTTAGTTGTTTCCTTTTAACTGACAATGTCTAATCGTACTTTTCTTAATACGTCTCTGGGTTTGCTTGACATGTCAACTACTGAATTTCGATTATTGTGATAATACAATACTACTACATTCCTTCTTGTTCTTGTATGATCCTGCCTAAAATGATATATATATATATATATATATATATATATATATATACGTAGCTATTAAAAATGGAAGATATGAAAAAAGTAGCTGTTTTTGACTACAGATGTTTACGTTGTGTTTCCTATATTAAGTGGTATGATGTGGTGAGTAATGTTGAGGCTTATCATAGTGCTAGGTAAGGAAGAGAAGTCAACTGATGAGTTTGTGAAGCCACACGCCTCGCGCCACCTCATTCCTCGAAATCAGCTCACACAAACCTCTCCTGACCATCGTCCATCTTCATGAACATTAAATGGTTGGCCATCTTCAGTAGGAGTGTATGCGAATCTTATGATTTATTGATATTAATTTACTCCAGGTGATTAATATGCTATAATAAAAGTTAATATCCTAGCATCTCTCATTAAAACCGGAGTAAGTGAAACGATTGCAAAGATGAAGGGTGGCGGGGGGAGGTCCAAGTTCAGCAACAAGTAGTTAACTTCTCGAGTAGACTACATGAAACGTTTCTTTTCCTGACTATTTATGTTTTTGACTGACAGAATTCACAGCCTACACCAACATAAAGGTAAGGGACCAGATGCATGAAACTGATTACATCCTAGTGACCAGTCAATGATGCATTGCAGTCCTACGGGATATCAATCATGAACTCGAATAGCTCACACAGTATCAACATGTGTGATTGCAGGATTAGGTGACGTGGGTTCGAATCCAAGAGGGAACATGAGTTTCTTCAAGGGTGCACACACGCCTTACGGACTAGTCAAAACAAGCACGAAACCTAGGTCTAGGCAGCGCTTTCTACCAATTGCCTCCAACCATCTGACATACGTAATAAATGCGGGATCCATATAAGTCACCACTACCATTCTCCGTGTACATATAAATTCAATAATGAAAAACAGACAAAAGGGAAGTGTAGAGAGACATGTATACATAATTTGTTAATAATCACTGCGTTAATTCTTCGCCAGTTGCCTCTTTTTCATCTTCTGAATCACTGTTCAGTCGATCAACTAGTTGATCAAGTTTGCGCATAGTTTCTTCGACATCTGAAGAAGAAGAAGTACATTAGACAGGCTGTCACAACAACAAAATAAACAACTTACCAATATGTTTCGCAAATGAAGGTACTATTTTCTTTTTCACATTCGGTATGATACTTGGTGATTTCAGCATACTCTCTTGACACTGATGCGACTCTGGATAGAATGAATGAAGTGCATTCTCTAAAATTTCGATTTTCGACTTATAACTTCTTTCCATGTCACTAATCTATGTATATATATAACATTTAACGGGAAAACCGAAATCAGATTGACACAATAAAAGATGAATGATAATATCGTTTTATATTACATCATTTTAACATCTCTCCCCTTTTCATTAGTAATCATACGCTTTGAGTAAAACCTCGTTTGTTCATGATGAAGTAATTAGTTAGAAGCCATTCACATCAAGTAATAATGGTTGCTACCCAGATCAAGGTGATCTAAACACTGAAGGACTGAGTCGCTTGACGACCGGATCTCATTAGCGGTACACCCGAGTCGACTCGGCTCAAAGAGCAACACACACAGTAAGTGGTGGGTATGTAACTTTCAACTGGTATGACAGTATACCACATAGGAGATTCTGTGGTAGGATGTTTGCTGGCCACGCACATCATCCGGGTTCTATTCCCGGCTGATGCACTCCTAAACCTCGCCTAGCCGATAGTAAGCCCGGTAAGGAGAAAAGGCTGGGAGTGAGGCTAGCAAACCCACCTCGCAAAAAGCCACTGCTATTGAAACTTCAAAGCTTAAGTTTGAAACTCTGTTTTACTCGGAATGCAAAGGGATAAACACGTCGCAGTTCCACGTATTAACCTCACCTAGTTTACTAGCCGATGCGAGTCCCGGAAAAGACGGAAGGTTGGGCACGAAGCTACCAACCACATCCCGTAAAAAACAATAATCCATCGACACAAAGCTTAAGAGCACAAAATATGTGAATCCATTCTTTGCTGGAATCGGGAAGACACCTCAGTTCGAGGTCGAGTGACACCGATTGGTGAAAAAACCCCTAGGAAGCCAGTCAGTTGACCAATGAATCTTCTTGCCATGAAACTAGAAGTAAGCATAAGCACATGATGTTTCCGTACCATGTTTTGGGTTAGCAAGAGTGCTGAGACTGTATAAACATAATACTCGAACAACTTAGATAATCGCATTCTGAGATAATTCTACTGCTTATCATGGAAGGATACAAAATAAGGCAATTCAAAAGGTAGGAAAATATGGCAAACATTATTAGAAAAAGTGTCATTAGTATGATGAATTCATAGGGATGGGTTATAGATCTGAACCTACGCTGTATAATAGGAAACTATGAGAACTTGTCAATCTATTTCAGTGTCCATATGGATAAAATATGCTCATAGAAACAGTCCACTGTAGAAATCATGGAGAAGATTTACAGCTCAGGCGTATAATATTGGTGTAGCTGTATTGCATGAGACGAATAATTTAATTTCGAGGCTACGTATTGAAGTGAGCACTGAGTATTTTGTCTATGAAAAGGATTAAAGCCTCTCAATTAAACCACACTGCCTCAATAAAGTTCACTGTGTTAGATTTCGTCCGTCAAGTAGTATTGTATAACATTTGTGTGAATGGGTGTCTTATGAAGGGTGAAACTGAATACTATCAAGAGATGCAGAAAAATAAAACTATTCGATTGTGACTACATTTAAGCGAACGGACTGACAAAGTGAACAGTACTAATGAAATTCGACGTCCTTTATACTTGCAGACACAAAAAATCTAATGCACGTTATCATATTTTACTATTACTATAGGCGATTTCGTTAACAACAATGAATTGTAACTGAGATGGAGGTTATCGGTGATGCTGAGTTCACTGAGCCGGGCGGCTTAATTGCGCAGCTTTTGTTGCCTTTGCAGACAATAGATTCGCAGCGCTTACTATAATGTGAAATAAGTGATATAACGGTCTTTCTTGAAGACCTTGGTTATGATTTGTTGTCAATTTGTATTGGCTTAGATAGTATCACTGCCCTGGAATTTGACTTTTTCTCATGTGAAGTGTCCGTGATTAGTTTATAAATGTCAATGTCTGTTGAGTACAGACTGATTGATATGAGTATCAGGCTAGTAGCGATGCTCAGAAGTTTGCGCTATTCAAAATCCCTACATTCTTCCAATAAAACTAGTGTCCTTTAGTTGTTTACATGTATGGAGATAAAGGAATAAATGTGACATCTTTTGACGGCTAGGGTATATTTTCGGATTCTCAATAGATGAGGACGTCCGCTTTGACACATCTAGTGTTTTCCACAATTGATTAATTCGTAGGTGACATTGATCATTTCTACTGCGCATCAACTTATACACAAATCCGAAGTAGGCATTCAAACATTACATTTGACGAGTGATATTGTATGAATACTTCTTTGGGTTCCAAGTGGAACATAGAGCTTCAGCAACAAAATGTCATTAAGCTCTCTTCTTCGTAGGAATTTTAGGCGACACTACCATTGCCCTATAAGCTTTCATTTCTCCGTCCTCGGACCCGCGTTCAAATCGTCATTTTCCATTCCATTTTCAATCAAGGCCCTAGAGTATGACGCCACATATATACAATCCATCTCTATTTCTTTTTGCATACTCTGGGGCAGAAGGTTCTGGTTTGGTTCACTGCCTGACAGAGTTCCTTGTTGCTTCCGCCTTAGCGCCGGTCACGTGATCCTCAGTATCAACCGAAGGTAGCTATTAAAAATGCTTTCCGTGAGATTTCTTGCTCTTCTGGCCTTTTCTAACCTTAATATCCTGATCCGTGCCGCCTGTACTTATAACTTAAAAATGAAAGAGGTTACCTCGTTTAGATTTCTTCCGTTGGTGGTGATTGGAACTTGGAGCTAATCGTTGTTATTGTTTGTGTACTTTGATCACCTATCTTTTCCATGTTCATTTGAATTCCTGTCTTCGCTGTCTCTTCTGTCAGCTTATTGGGTTTTCGCCCGAAGACATTCAAATGTGTACGAAATCAGACATAAACCATCGGTGAGTATTTTTGTCGACCCAACGTATGACAGTTTTCTCCCTCCCCACAGTCAGTTTCATGATTCAGTCGACTACAATCAAACCAGAGTAGTAATACATAGCCTTGTCTTACTCTTCTCTTCACTTCAAAGGCTTCAGTAAAGCTTATGGTTCAACCACTCTTTTCTTTCCCCAACATTCTCTTAAAAAAGGTTAAAGTTCATTAAACAAGCACAAGATATTTGCAGTTTATTTACCAGTAACTTTCTCTGGTTAATTTCTCGATCAATACGACGTTCAGCATGACATAAAGCAGTTGATGCCTGTGACAGTTTCATTTTTACTTCATTTAGTTGCCCTTTTAATTGTGTACTTTCATCTGCATAATTTTGTTTAGCATTAGCATGCGCCATTTTTTCATTTTCTAACTGTTCTAAGCATTCCTTTAATTTCTGAATAAAAAAACAGTAAAGAGAATTTAGAAAAAAAGGAAAAGGAACGCGATCATTCATTCATTATATCATAGATTATGAAGTGACTGTATAAGTTGTCA